GTTTATACCGTTCATCATAATCAATGTACTTAGTCTCAAGACTTTTCGTTCATTTGCAAACAAAGACAGTTAAATAATATCACATATTCTCTATCATCAAATGTTAATAACCATTTAACAAAAGATGGAAATAAAAACAGACTAGATATAATTATCCGAAAACGAATAAAAGACGGCACTATAGTGGACTGCAGGAGTGTACTCTTTCATGTGAAGCACAAATTCTGTAAGTCAGGAACGAAACGATCAAACAACCTAAAATTTTCAGATTGATCAGATTATTTGGAGTGATGGATTATATCAGCTGATTGTAATACTTTATACCGTTCATCATAATCAATGTACTTAGTCTCAAGACTTTTCGTTCATTTGCAAACAAAGACAGTTAAATAATATCACATATTCTCTATCATCAAGTGTTAATAACCATTTAACAAAAGATGGAAATAAAAACAGACTAGATATAATTATCCGAAAACGAATAAAAGACGGCACTATAGTGGACTGCAGGAGTGTACTCTTTCATGTGAAGCACAAATTCTGTAAGTCAGGAACGAAACGATCAAACAACCTAAAATTTTCAGATTGATCAGCAGTGTGTGTGAGCTTGTAGTGCTGAAAATTTCATGTGTATACGATCTTGCTTGACTGAGTTGTAATGTTTTCAACTTTTGGCGATGTCAGCTGGGAAGAACAGAAAATTGGTCCTAACTTCTCAAGAAAGAGCCATCAGCACAAATCTTTTTAGACCTTTTATTATCTCGATGTTCTCTATCAAACGACCTATCAATGAAGAAAAACGGCGTTGAACACCTCGGGCGGTTTCCTCGTAAGAAATACGAGAGTTGAACCCTGTTGTTTGATTTTGATAGGAGAATTTCGTGCTACTCTAAATAAGTCAGCGAAGGAATGAAGTCTGGTATGTCGAAGATGTGGTTGCTGAACATATGCTCTGATAATGGTTAATAGAAGAAAGAAGTCGGGTTTCATGCGCAACGTCTTGATCACTATATGGTTACTATTGATGTTTCACGAAACCCTATCAATGGTAACAATCTTCTAAAGTTTGTCACGAAAACTCTCTGACAACTTACGTTTAGTGATTACCATATACGAAGCTATTGGCGAGAAAAACATTCCTTTAAGGTTTTCACGAAACTTCGTTCGCTCCGAAATCTCTTGAAGATTCTGTAAAGTCGTACAAGACCGAACAAGATTTGATGAAGTTCTACGGAACTTCGAAGGTTCAGTATTGTACTTTTTTTTTCAATGCACATTGATGGAATTCAATGTATGTCACTTCATTAATTATGATATGAAAACTATCAGGAGTGAAACTAAAATCAATGAATAAATAAATGCCATATTCATTTTCCTTAGACAGAAAGGCTAGGCTCTAGAAATCTAAATTCACCTGTATCTGTCTGTCTGTCGGTAACGCAGTCAAAATATCCATGGTAACTATGGTACAAATGGCCATATGGTAAAAATGTCCACAATAACTGTGGTACAAATGCCCATAGTAACAATGGTATAAATGACCAAATAACAACTGGCGTCCATGCTCATAGCAACAGTGGTACAAAGGACCATGTGGTACAACTGACCGCACAGTACAAGTGACCATACAGCACAAATGGCCATGGTAACTGTGATACAAATGGCCATTGGCTAACCACAGTTCAAATGACTATATAATCGTATGGTACAACCGACCATTTATGGCGCAAAGAACTATATGAAAATCTAATCCAAATGACCATCTGATAACTACAGTTCAAATAAACATGAAGAAGACTATAAGGATTGTTTAATCACTATGATTTTAATTAATTAATCGAGCAATATTGGTCGAAAAAGACGATCATTGTTTAATTATTTATTGTGATTGGATTATTGTTCAATGCTGTATCAACAAGGAGATGGATGTTTTATTCATAAATTAGAGTGTTAGAAGTGATTGTGAAGCACAAAATTATAATGAACACCAATTATATTGTTTAAATGATGCAATAGAATATTTTTCGAGTAAAAATAGCACTTAAATGAAATAATAATCAAAATTCATGTTGCTGTGTACAATATTGTTGTAATTAATGATACAATATAAAAACGATCTGTTTTGAAAGAAGAATAGCCGAATTGTCATATACTGAATAGTCCACTATATCTAATACAAATAGTTTTTATATTTGCATAGCATGTTTTTCACAGTTCAGTCCCGATATTAATATGTATCCCAAAAAAAAAATACTTATCATGATGCACTTTCAGATGAAACAAAGAGTTATATCAAATGATTTAAAGAACATATTTTTTTGTTTATCATAGTTTTATGTTCACACTCACTTAAAAGATTCTAATTTATTTACAAAACACCTACTTGCTGATACAGCATTGAACAATACTCTAATCACAATAAATAATTAAACAATGATCGTCATTTTCAACCAATATTGGTCGATCAATTAAAATCATAGTGACTTGATAATTTTTACAACTTCCGTCACGATTGGTTGAACCATAGTTATCAGATGGCCATTATAACCATGTTCTGTTACACACAGTCAAGCATAGTGGATCTTCGTTTACATCTATAAACAAGTATATCAACATCGCTACCCTGTCAGTCTAGGGCCAAGTGAATCGACTGTCGATGAAAGTTACGTGTACTTACTAGAAAATAATATTTAAGTAATTACTAATAACTAAGTAACTATAGTAGTTAGTAGTTACTATTAACTAGTAACTGAGTAACTATAGTAGTTAGTAGTTACTAGTAACTAAGTAAATATGTAGTTACTTAGTTACTAGTAAAGTAAAGTCCCACCCCTACTCATTACTGAATCTCGATTTTTAAAAGAAATTCTCAGAGATCGTTTTGTTTAGTTTTACTTACTCTTTCGAGTGAGATATTGCATAATGGAACAGTCAAAAATAACAGAGATACAAGCGAAACACTGGACGCGACTTTTGTGTCTACTTTATCAAATTCTTCCATGTGTAAAATACTCAATTCTGACGAATTATTTTACTAGAGTCCAGAACCTTTATGGTAACTTCTGGTTAGAGACCTGCGAAGTCAACTTTTTTGACTCCGATTCCGAAAATATTTTTTCAATGACTCCGATTCCAACTTCCAGAAATTCCGAAAGTTTTTTAGCAATTTCATCTAAAGTTTAAAAATAGTGAGACGACAGGGACTCATTTACTGCTTTAAAATGCATGTTTTTCGTATTAAAAAATTGAATTATTTTCTTAAAAAAGAGCAATTTTATCAGCGTGATCATGTTCGAACTAGCTTCTTTCCAATAGAATACCTTCTCAAATATGAAAGAACTCACCTTTTTGCTCTTAAAAGAAACTTATTTTACCGATTACAACTGTCCGGGACGTTCTTCACCGAAGCAATCAAGAACTGATGATGAGAACAGTTGTAGTATTTTGAATGACATGAACCCTTTTGATCTAATGCCGCTGCGTTGCCATTTTATTCGATCATTCGAGTGTTATAACTGTAAGGTGGCTCATTCATTTTTCTGTCCTAAAGGTTATGAAAAATCCATGTGACAACTTGTATCTTTTATTTTTTAGTATATTAATACAAAAGCTAACGTTTGTATGAATCGAAAAAAACATAATTGAAAGCGCTTACAGTTTTGACTTCGATTTTGACTCCGAAAATTTTTTCCCCTAAACCCGACTCCGACGAAGTCGAAGTTGGAACCGAGTTTCGGAGTCCAATGCAGGTCGCTATCCTCAACTGGTTGCTTTGAAAACTCAATTAGGAATAATGAAATTTTGAACGAATTCAGGTAAAAATAGAAAAGATGGATGATTGAAATAAATATATTTTGAATATTAACTTCCATTTTCATGAAAATATTCTAAATACTTTTCGTATAAATCTTAAAGATAAAACATAATTACAGAAACTTATTCCTATAGAGATGCATCATAAAATATCAGGATAAAATCAGGCTTTTTCGTTAAAACAGGAAAATCAGAACAATTGTAAGATGTAAGGGAAAAATCAGGAACGTAGTACTGAGCGTGACGATTGAATAATTTATTTATTTTTAGTTCTTTTAATGCAAGATGTTCTTCATCATTTACGTGAGAAATAGGTTTAATTTTTATTCTTCTAATTATTTTATTAGCAATAACTTCAATCTGATTACATGATGGTTCTCAAAGAATACTTCTTTTTTCTAATTCATCTTTAATTTAATTAATCCAAACTCAAGTTCCGTTTATATATTTAAAGATTTATTAATTTTCTCTTCAATCCAGAATTTTCAACCCCTATTGAATACTTACAATTGTGATAAATAAAGTCAGTAATTTAGAAATGATAAATTATAAACTAATTTGTCCAAGGAGTAAGAGAGACACGTGTGTGAGCTCATACTATAATCTAATAGTTTCGAAATTATAATTACATGTAGATTTTCGACTCTAGTTAATTCAAATTGTTCTTTATCATATAATTTTTATTTGTTCCTTTTTTCTATGTTCAAATTGATTACGAACACTTTAGAGAGGATCTTAGAAAAACTTATAATATACAATTCAATGAGTTTTCATCTTCTCTTTCTAGTGGTGAAAACCGCAACTCTATCTTGCTGTTATCAAAAGTTGTTCGAAAACTCCTATCCTGGATTGTCTTTAAACTCGGCATTAGTCAACACTTGTTAATTATATCCACAAACATTCACATTCAATTTCCGAAAACTCATCGTCGCCGAATGATGGATATTCACTTCTAATAAGTTCGTGATTATCTTCCTCGCATTACTTAACATCTTTTTTAAACCTAATTTAACAACAAGCAAAAACAAAACTCAAAGTTCACTTTGATATTTTTCTACTTTTCAATATCAAAACATCTATCAAATAATAATTAGTTATTTCAAGTAAATTAATTCAAAAAAGACATTTTTCTTTTCAAAATAATTTTATTTTTTTTTTTTACAAAAAAAATGTATACAACAATCAAATCATGATAACCAAATTTGAATAACTTCGTCATTATTTTTGACATTAACCATTTGTTCATTAATGATGTCTAGAGGAAATGCTTGATGACGTTTTGTTATGATATATTCACATGAAAAAGGATCATCGAAAAATGTATCATCATTATAATTGATTTCAATATAAGATATTTGTTTCAATTCAGTGAGAAATATATCAATAATAAATGAACAAATATCAAATGAGAATACTTGAAGTTCAATATGACAAAGTGATGGAAAACGTTGAACAAATTTTGAGGCGAAAGCTGAAGGAAAATAAATGTTTTCTGTTATTGTTTTAATCATTTTAATTTGTTTAAAAATTGGAATAAGAGATGAATTATCAATTAATTTTGATAAGACTAATAATGAAGTGTTAATTATAAGACTATGTACATTTGGACATGCTCTAAACACAATATATTAGAAAATATTTTTCTTCTGTAAAATAAATATAATACATACAGTAAAATAAGCTCAATATCTTTCCATCGATTAATATCAAATGTTGATTGAAATTCTATTTTAGTTACATTTGGTAAATGAATAAAACATGATAAATAATTAAGATTTTCTTGTGCATTGTTCTTGTCATCAGTTGCTCGTTGAAAATTAACTAGAAAAATCAAATTACATTCTTTATTGTTTGATATAAAGTGAATTACAATAGCAATAGCTAATATTAAAAAAAAACATTTTATTCTCACCAATATTAGATAAATAGTTCCACCATGATGATTTTATTATTGACATTTCAATGACAAGATAAGTAATATGTTGAAATAAAGGAGAAGACCAAGTAACATTAGATCTTTCATTTGTTATGTATAATTCTATATCTTCTATATCAGAATAAAAAGAATAATGATCATCTCTTGTTTTTCTTGTTGATCGTATTTCAAATGTTGCACAATTAAGAAAACCAAGTTCTACTTTTGAAATTGATTTGCGTTTGCCATAATTCAATGTTCGTAGCACAATATATTCTTCTAGAAAAACAAGTATATAGTTAAATGTCTTCTGTTACTTAAAATTTAGATTTATCTCATTTCTTCAATCTTATTTAATTTTTTAAATAATTTCATTTACCTTGAGGGTGAGAACTATATGTCCATCGATCAACAATCATGTGCCAATTAGAATACTTGTTAACAAAGTAATTAAATGAAGTAACAACAAAATCTAAGTTTATTTTTGGCAATCTTTTTATAATAGTCATATGAAATTGAAATTTCGATAAACATGGCAGATGAAGTTCAAACATTTTTTTCCATACATATCCATCGACATATTGATCAGTAAATGGCCAGTGTGCACTTGGCGGGATCAGATGAAAATAAAAATATTTGAGATTAGGCATACAACATAAAATATGCGAAATCGACCAAATATCAAACATAGCAGTGAGTGTTAGATCGAAACTTGTCAATTGTGATAATATAGGAAGATCATTTTCATTCGTAAGTGGTAAATCACTTGGAATACTGAAACAAAATAAAATCTTTGTGTTTTAAGCATGTTTCTTCGGATATATCTACTACATTAGCAACTTACTTAACATTATTATTTTTAAATCGTTTGTCATGTTGTAATATAATACATAGATATCGTATTCTATGACAAAGACGAAAAACTCGTAAAACTGAATGAACAGATACGATTGAACGTGAACCAGCAATTCGTAAACTAAGTGATGTAAAATTTGAACCTATGGAAGCATAATTTGATATATGTAAGTAATGAGAAGGATATTGAAGTTCAACTGAACGAAGAGAAGATGATTTGAGTGTTAATAGAATTTGAGAAAATTCATCATTATCATTTTCAGTTATGTCTAGCAGATTTTGTTGAAAAATTTCAAGTAACACAAGTGTATTAAGACTTTTCAGTTGTTCAATAACATTACCAAGTGTAGTCATTGAGTTAATTAACACAAGTTTACATGATTTTAGATGAGAAAAGTTGTGTCGATTGAATAATAAACTGATAATAGATGAATCATCACGAATGGTATCGGAAATATTTATTGAGATGACTTGATGTTCATGAAAAGTAAGATGAGAAGAAAGAAAGTCAATTTGACGACGACAATGTTTTCCGGAAATAACAATATGAAGTGGAATTGATTGTAAAATAGATGATATTCGTCTGTTCAATAAAGTAAAGCCAGTAAAAATATCCAATACGTGTAAATAATCAAATATTTCAAAGAATATCTCATTTGATAAATCTTCCAAATGAGTATTTACATCCATTTCTAGAATATATGACCATATAAGTAATGAAAATATCAAATAAGTGAATATTTGCACGACAATATCTTTTATATTTCACAATAAACAGTCTATGAACAATACTGACGAGAAGATAAAATGAAATATGATTTAATCATCTTGTTCAGTTAAAGATATATGAAAAAAAATATGAAGAAAAGATGTATTGATCATGTTAAGTCGTCTAATTGTTCGGCCCCAAACAGACTGACTAATTCAAAGTGAATTAAGAAACACGATTGGTCTTTTTGCATAGCAACGCGAATTGTATTGGTTAATTCAGTTTTATCGTGTTCAGTCTGTTCGGGGCCTTCGCTATATTTAGTTTGATCATAATGTCAGATTACACGATGAAGAGCAAAAAAGATATAAATGATAGTCATGATGGAATTGTTCTAAAAAAGAAAGAAAAGTCCAGTTCGAATCTATCTTTAGTACTTATTATTATCATAGCAGTCAAAAAATATTTAAAAATCCTAATCGATTCGGATAACTTTCAGTTGGAGACAAACTTCTTCACTTGAATATTTCCAATTAGATGGCGTGTAGAACATTATGAAAAGATTAGTTTTGATCGATATTATCTTCCGATCCATTTCCAAGACTATTTTGACAAATTTGTCTTATTTTCTATTCTGTACAGATCAAAAAGTATATTTTCAAATGAAAGAAAGAATCTCGCGATTGAATCATAAGAAAAGTGATTTAATTCTCAAGAGTCAAGTGTCCCTTCCAAATGGATATTTAATATCTCTATAAGAAAAGCAATTTGTTTCAACCTTAGCTTGATCATACTGAGAATATCGAGAAGCTCTCATCTGTTGATCTAGTTTCTTTTATTGTCAACAAAATCTTTGCTCAGCTGTCGAGGGTCGATACAATATAGAATTGATACTCTAATTAATTCTATTGTACTTAAGAAAAATTTAGCACTATATTTCATAGATGTTTGCTATAGCTAATTGAGAAAGTGAAATAAGCAGCTTTTTTATGAGTTGAAGATAAAGTTTAATGGTTTCTATTTAGCTAATTTAAGATCTCATATAGTTTCAAAGTTGTCTTTCGTACAAGATAAGTCAGAGCAAATGTTTGTCAAAGATTAGAATGAAATAAATCAATTATCTTGTAACACTCGAACAAAAAACTATATTCAATGTTTCGAACGATTCATTCAGGACATGATTAATCTGAAAAATAAAATATGTTTGCTCTTGAACTTATTTATCTATATTTGGATAGATTAATCATAAAAAGTTGTAAAAAATATCAAAGAACACTATAATAATGAAACAAGCAAATGGTCGACTGATAAAGTCGAGGGTGTGGATGCTCGTGTGGGTGTGTGAATCTGTTCTACATTCAGATTCACAGAACCGCGTCCACACCTACACCCACACCCACATGCACACCACCCACCCAGACGTTCACACCCACACCCTACACCCGCAACTATCGTATGTATGAAGAAAGGACTAATTAGGGATTTTCTCAGTGATGATTAGCTCAAATTCGAAAAATGACATGTGTAATAGATACAGCTCATCGAGATCTATCTGGAGCCGTTCTTAGTTTCGTTGGAGCCGACACATGAAGGATTTTAGATCGGTATTCCCAAGTCCTAACCTCCATACACATGAACAAAGCACTAATTAGGGATTTCTTCAGTGATGCCTTGCTCGAATTCGAAAAATGACATGTGGAATCGATAGACCTCCTCGAGATCTATCTGGAGCCATCCTTAATTTTATTGGAGCTGACTCATGAAGGTGTGAGAAAAAATTTTTAGGAAATTGTCCTATGTGTATATATGAATATAGCAGCTATAGAAGTAATTAGCGATTTTCTCAACAATGGCTTGGTCGAATTTGACGAGTGAGGTGTGGGTTGGATAAAGCTCGTCGAGATCTATCGAGTGGTCTCATTAGTTTTGGTGAGGCCAATTGATGGACGAATCGCCACAGTGGTGAAGTTCAAAGAACTTCGTGACGGCTTCCTAATTAATGGTTTAGTCTAATTGAAAGGATAGGATGTGGAATTGATAGAGCTCGTCGAGATCTATCGAATGGTATATTTGGTTTTTGTTGGAGCCACTCAGAAGCGAATCGCGACGGATCTTTCTAAACTATATGGGTTTTTTAGCATTTTTTTGCGGTATTTTGGACTTTTCTCCGGTTTGAGGGGGCTTTGGAGAAAGTAATTATTGAAGTCGATAGAACTCGTCGAGTTCTACTTAGAGCCAGTACGATCTCTTGTGGAGCCAGTCTTATGGCGAATATTTTCAGAATATACTCGAATCCTAACCTAAGATATCCTACGTATCTCAAACATTTATATTAACATTTCAATTGCTAAGCTTGAACAGTGGACATGAAAATAGTCTTGAGTTAAAACAAGAGTGATGCCCTTCATTATTCAATCGTTACTCGAATATCTCAGTCGATTGATTAATATACAATTCCATTCTTATAAAACTATCAGTTATTGATCGATAAATAGGAAACCGTGTTTCTTAGAGACATAAGAAAGATGACGTCGACAAACGAAAAATTTAATTATTTGGTTGAAAACAAATCTTTTTCTTGAAAATGAACAAGATTTAATTGAAACAATAATATATTTTATAATAAAACAAGATAAAAATTTATTAATACAAAATAAATTAATTGATGATTATTATAAAAAACCAAGAATATATGAAGATTGGGATGATGAAATCAAAGATATATCAAACAAATAGTTAAACCTTTATATTTTGTCAAATATATCTTTTATAAATATACAGACACAAAAAAAAATTTGTTTGTGTTTATTTTTTCAGATTAATATAAATATACTTTTATTATTTATTTGAACAATGTAAAGTCGAATATTCCAACTGAACAAATCCCACCGATAAGTCTAAATCAACAACGACCA